GAGTGCGACAGTGTGCCTGACTTATGGTGTCTCCTTCCTCCTCCAGGTGGCGCTGTTCCCCGGACGAGGGAAGCTGTCTACCGTCCTGCCGGAGTTCCCGTCTCTCAAGGATGTCCTCCTCCCTCCTCACGTCGCCCCAGACAAGGTGAGTCCCCCCATCCTCTCCTTACCTCAGTAGGTTCACTCACCCGCCTCTTGAACCTCTGTGTCTCCGTCTCGACGCCATAATATCCAATCTCAAGACGAGAGCCTCCCTGTTTGATCACTGATAAGTGTGACTGAGGATCTAAATGTAGGCGGAGGAGCCTCTCGAGTCCCAGTCAACACGCGGACCTGGAGACTCGTGCAACGAATAACACAAAATATAATTGGTGATGCATTTTATACACAATATACTGTGTAGACCTGACTCCCAACATGGGTAAACCGGGGACGGTATTTACTAGTCAACTATTTAACCCCTTGTTTGTGTCTGGGGTTACAGACTTGGGGAGGCAGGTGTGTCTCCCTCGTCTGTAGGGCCTGGGGTTACAGACCTGGGGAGGCAGGTGTGTCTCCCTCATCTGTGGGGCCTGGGGTTACAGACCTGGGAGGCAGGTGTGTCTCCCTCATCTGTGGGGCCTGGGGTTACAGACCTGGGAGATAGGTGTGTCTCCCTCATCTGTGGGGCCTGGGGTTACAGACCTGGGAGGCAGGTGTGTCTCCCTCATCTGTGGGGCCTGGGGTTACAGACCTGGGAGATAGGTGTGTCTCCCTCATCTGTGGGGCCTGAGGTTACAGACCTGGGGAGACAGGTGTGTGTCTCATGTGTGTGGTCTCGCGTCACAGGGAGGCAGGAGAGTGTATCGTCCTCATCTCCGAGTCTGGAGTCACAGGGAGATAGAGGAGTGAGACTACAGATTTTGTTCCATAAACTAGCTTATGTAGAATTTAAAACATTATAATATCCTTTGCGAGATTCGAACTCTGTACTGCTGAGTTTCTAGGTCAGTACGATTAGTGCAAAGTGATGTGAATTAATTTACAGATATTTATGCAGAATTTACCTTTGTTATATCAATGAAAGTGCAGAAATGAGTATTATATTTTGTCGTTATGTATATTTCCTAATTTGTTTTCCTTTTTTTCCATGTGTCGACCTCACTCATTGTGGCCTTTCTTGATGATGTGAACTTCTTCATCTGGCAATGTGGCTCTCTTCCTGGTATTGTGGTCGCCCGTTTGACATGGCACTCTCCTTGGCACTGTGGTCTTCCCTACTTGGCAACATGGCCTCCTCCTTGGCACTGTGGCCTCCCCTACCTGGCAACATGGCCTCCCCTACCTGGCAACATGGCCTCCCCTACCTGGCAACATGGCCTTCCCTACCTGGCAACATGGCCTCCTCCTTGGCACTGTGGCCTCCCCTACCCGGTAACATGGCCTGTCCCTGGCCCCCTGGCGGTGAACAAAGCAGGTTGCCACCTTCGTCATGATGTACAGGACTCACTGTCAACGGATCCTTGACACTGTCATCCGTGCCAGCTTCGACGAGGTGAGTGGCAGAGTGACTGACTGAAGGATGGGGGGAAGGGAGGGTTAGGAAGAGACAAAGGGGTCAGAGTTTGTTATTACAATGACGTGTTGTCATTAAAGCCATAACAACGTCCAACACTGTAACGAGCGCCATCATATGGGTAATGTAGACAGTAGTTATGGTCACAATGACGTAGTTACCATGTGGTCCTGGGCAGTAGTTATAATGATTATTATTTTTCATTTGGATGTTAATAATTTAGTTTATTCGATTTATGCAAAACTATGCACAGGAAAATATAATCAGCTCATGACTTTGATCTTATCAATGTGCATGAAATTTGCATTTAATTTTCATGACTGATTTTTTAATATGTCAGTAAAAGATAATGTGTCTACTGTTTGTAAATCTGTCTCATGGATCATCATAATCGTGCAATACATGTTCAGAATATTCATACAACCTAATCTCACTTTATGTGTACCTGCCCTGTGCTGACCTCTCTGTCACTACGCTGACCTGGCCTCTGACCTACGCTGTTCTGGTACCTGCGACCTACGCTGACCTGGTACCTGCGACCTCCGCTGACCTGGCCTCTGACCTCCACTGACCTGGTACCTGCGACCTACGCTGGGCTGGCCCGGTACCTGTGTGTTCAGATTCAGAGCTTCCTGCTGCACTTCTGGCAGGGAATGCCTCCTCACCTGGGGAGTATCCTCAGCACCAATGTCCTCGTCAACCTGGTGGGCGTGTGTGACTCCATCCTCTACCGCGCCATCTGCAGCGTTCTCATGCCCTCTGTCCTGCAGGTAAGGACAAGGAGGAAGATAGGGAGAGGAGTCCTGCACAGGTACATGACTCACTCATGTTTCTCATCATTTACTTATGGCTCTTGTCATTTACTAAATGTTTCTTATTATTTATTCATGCTCACACTCACTTCTACAGGCCATCCCTGACAGCCTGACTCAGGTCATCCGGAAGTTTACGCATGACCTGGACTCCTGGCTCAGGGTCGCCCTGGATGACCTTCCGGACAATTTACGCCAGGTTAAAATTGACCGTAAGTATCTCTCATGTATTCTCTCAGTCACTCACTTGCTCACAGATCACTTATCTTGAGCAATCTTGCTTCTTCGCTACCGCTCTCTCTCTCTCTCTCTCTCTCTCTCTCTCTCTCTCTCTCTCTCTCTCTCTCTCTCTCTCTCTCTCTCTCTCTCTCTCTCTCTCTCTCTCTCTCTCTCTCTCTCCTTGCTTTTTTCAATTATTGCCTCCAACTCACCCAAATGAGTGAGGAAGAAACCAGCTGGACACAATGCCAACCACCACAGGCTGCCTTGATCACAGCTGAAACCGCAGAGCCCAAGAAATATTCCCTGGAGCCCATGTTCTGGAGTGTCCCAAAGTTTCATAAAGTTTAATAAAGAATCAGCAATTATCAGCATTAATGTTAATTTGTTACATTGTATTGTTATATAAAATTATTATGGACGGTAATAACGTATAATGGCTTATAGATAATTATATTAAGACTTAATGATTTATCGATTATTATGTATATTGATTAATATAATTGATGGTGGACCAGGACCCACTTGAACGTTGTCAATTCCTGAATTATAATGAATTATATATGAATTATATATTAATTTATATAAATGAAATAAATTTATATGATATACAAGTTATTTGATAAAATTATATGTAATACAGCAATAACTATTATAAACAGGTCTCGAATTTACAAGATTAATGATAAGAGATAAGGATTATTGATGATAATTATAAGGAATAATGGATGATGATTAGAATAATTATTGAATATAATTATATTAATGGTGATTATAATTGATTACAGTCAATAAAATATAAATGATCATACCTCTATTATAGATAATATATTTTTCTAAAATACTGTATAATAATTAATGAATGACTTTTATTGTATATAGTAATTGACAATTATACATGATGAACAGATGGATAATGTTCATACAGATTATAAGTATACATGATACTCATACATATTATAAATATGCATGATGATCATATATAATTATACATGGTTCTCATACAGATTATATATATATATATATATATATATATATATATATATATATATATATATATATATTATATATATATATATATATATATATATATATATATATAATATATATATATATATATATATATATATATTGTTAATTATCTATATCGGTTAATTATCCATATCGGTTAATTATTAATAGTAATTATATATAAACATGATCTATATCGGTTATCTACAATCCTTTCTATTGGGCTTCTCAGTCTTCTATCCTTACTTTTTTCCTTCCTATTCTTCTATCCGTTCTCTTGTATTTCACAGTCTTCTATCCCTTTTTTTATTGGGTTTCACATTCTATTGCGCTTTATATTCTTATTTCCTTTCTAAAGTGGTTCTATTCTTGCACGTAAACATATTCACCTGCTCCTTGTTGTAAACAAATCCACCTGCTCCTTGTTGTAAACAAATCCACCTGCTCCTTGTTGTAAACAAATCCACCTGCTCCTTGTTGTAAACAAATCCACCTGCTCCTTGTTGTAAACAAATCCACCTGCTCCTTGTTGTAAACAAATCCACCTGCTCCTTGTTGTAAACAAATCCACCTGCTCCTTGTTGTAAACAAATCCACCTGCTCCTTGTTGTAAACAAATCCACCTGCTCCTTGTTGTAAACAAATCCACCTGCTCTTTGTTGTAAACAAATCCACCTGCTCTTTGTTGTAAACAAATCCACCTGCTCCTTGTTGTAAACAACGAGAATCACCTCCCAATCGCGACTTTGTTTTTCAGTTGCGTGTCGCTTCTCGCGGATGTTGCGACGCCAGACTTCTCTAAACCACCTGTGCCAGGCGTCGCGGATGGTGCTTCACGCGCCAGACATCACGCAGCAGATGGTGCACGACTGGCGCCAGGTGGACCTGGAGACCATCAGTCGACACACACTCTACTCCATGGACAAGCACACCACCAGCGGCGTCACCGTCGACCTCATCATGAGTTGTGAGTCTCCTCACAGATAAGGATAAGGATTCTTGCCATCGAGTCAACACCACTACTTCATAGTGGTGTTGATTCGATGGGATGAGGGGCTGTGTTCTCGTGGGGCACTTTAAGAGGGTCTTTCCATGGGGAACTATGAGAGGGCCTTTCCATGGGGCACTATGAGAGGGCCTTTCCATGGGGCACTATGAGAGGGCCTTTCCATGGGGCACTATGAGAGGGTCTTTCCATGGGGCACTATGAGAGGGTCTTTCCATGGGGCACTATGAGAGGGTCTTTCCATGGGGCACTATGAGAGGGCCTTTCCATGGGACACTATGAGAGGGCCTTTCCATGGGACACTATGAGAGGGCCTTTCCATGGGGAACTATGAGAGGGCCTTTCCATGGGGCACTATGAGAGGGCCTTTCCATGGGGCACTATGAGAGGGCCTTTCCATGGGGCACTATGAGAGGACCTTTCCATGGGGCATTGAGAGGGCCTTTCCATGGGGCACTATGAGAGGGCCTTTCCATGGGGCACTATGAGAGGGCCTTTCCATGGGGCACTATGAGAGGGCCTTTCCATGGAGCATTGAGAGGGCCTTTCCATGGGGCACTATGAGAGGGCCTTTCCATGGGGCACTATGAGAGGGCCTTTCCATGGGGCACTATGAGAGGGTCTTTCCATGGGGCACTATGAGAGGGCCTTTCCATGGGGGTTGTATGCTCGAAAATTATCCATATAAACGCTAAAAAAGGACACCCAAGAATGTCCTTGGAGGGTATTGCCATGTGAAGGAGGACCCCTTGGACGGGAACCACATGACAGATGAGGAATGGTATGTTGTTCTTACCAGACGCTCATGTGAGACCTTCTCTCAGGTAATGTAAGGGGTCACATTCTTATTACCAGTCACTGCATAAGGGCAGACAACACGACTTGGGTGGAGACCTCGTGATGTGTCATAGAAACTATAAAGACATACTTACAAACAGTGCACAGGGAAATGTAGAATTATGAAGGGTTTTGTTCGCTTCCATTTGGTATTGGATATTAAACATCCGTAAGCTACTGTATTGTATTTTATTATACTAACTTGTACTGCAGTATATTGTATCTAATTTTACCTCAGAATATTGTAGTTGCGTTGTATATCACTTTCTTAAATGTAATTGCATTGCAGTATATAGCGAGTTTGAACGTCTCCTGGAGGAGGGGGCGCCCCTAGAGGCCTACAGCGAGTGGTTGGAGGCGATGGTGGAACGGTGCGTGTTGCTGGGGGCCCGCAGGAACAAGGCCCCCGTACACAAAGTGGCCCACTCCTTCCTCCTCATGTGGTCCTGCTTCGGCACCAGAGTCATCAGGGACATGACCCTACACTCAGCCCCAAGCTTCGGTGAGTGTCATCCTGTGTCTTGAGGGGAAGGTGTGCACCTTCCTCAAGAGATGGGAAGGTTTGTAATTGGTGAAATATACATGTAAACATGTAATGAAATATGAAGACTCTGATGGTTCTACGACTGAGACTGCACCACGGGATAGTGTCTGAGGAGTTCAGGTTCCGTCGTACAGTTCATAATATACATTCATATTTGTGAGTAATTTAGAGGTGTATGTCTTCGTTGGGTGTATGTTGTGAATAGCTGTTTGAAAATTGTACATGATTTAATCAGTGTTATAATTTACGCTGAACCATGACTCCTTTATTGCTATTCTGCTTTATCTCGTTACCAAACAGCTCTTCATGTATGAACCCTTTCTGTAATAAACGGCTCCACCTCCTTACTGAAGGAGCCCATTCAGTAAACAACAACATCCCTCTTCGCTAACGGAACCCAATCAACAAACGCACAACGACATCTCACTCACCAGAGGTCAGGTTTGCGTAGCAGTTACGCAAGTACTTACGAACGTGTACATCTTTCCTTAATTCTTTGACGGGTTTCGTTACATTTATTAAACTTTTATTAAACAAGCAGGAAAACTTCCCAATCAACTGTTGTTATTGTTATAAACAGCCTCCTGGTGCTTCGGAGCTCATTAACTGTTTAATACTTGTAAACAAAGCTGCCAAAGACTGAGAAAAGACTGTACAGGTTCGTAAGTGTTTGTGTAACTGCTTCGCGAACATGGCCTCAGACCTCTCCTCACTCTAGACGACTCTCGTTCCTCACCGCACCTATACTAACCTCCCACCCTCCCCTTTCCCCCAAGGGTCGTTCCACCTGCTCCACCTGATGTTCGACGACTACGTGCTCTACCTGGTGGAGTCGCTGCACGCCGAGGAGAAGGCCAGGGAGCTCCTCAACAACATCGCTACCGACTCTCCGCCCGACTGCTCAGACCCGGGATTCGGAGGTACGATTAGGGGTTACTGTAATTTTTTGTTGTATTATCTGCATGTCTCTGGCAAATTGTCTATACAGCATACCTAGGTCATAAAAGTATTTGTGTGTACGTCTGATACCATACTACTTGTGTAAAGGAGGAAATGTATATGTTTATCTCTCAGAATGGTTGGTAATATGTTTATTGTTTGTGATGTGGGTCTATGTATGTATTAACACGATGTACTGAACGGGGTGAGAATAGCTTGAGCTACCTCATCCCTTTGTGTGTATTTTACATCAATAAACTTATTTCAATTTCAATTTCAATTTAAATTAGGGGTCTGCTGGATACATCGAACTCACAGCTGCAACGAATATGCAGCTGTGAATATTTAGCTTGTTTATCGAATATTTAATTTGTTGACTATTTAGCTAGTTAGATAGCAGGTTAATTATGTATCCGTGTATATATACTTCTTGCAGATCCTGACAACGAGGACAGCCTCCACGCCCTCACCTTCCTGATGGGAGGATCGACGCCCATGGGGGGCGGGGCGGGAACAGCCACGCCCACCACGCCCGGGGTGTCCCCCAGCTCCCAGCCCACCCATGACCTGCACCTCTCCCCCACGCCCACTACCATCCTCGGTGCGTTCAGGTCTCTCCCACACTTAATAATTGTCTTATTAATTGTCCCCATTATCCCACCCCATTGTTTCTGTTCACCCCATTGCCTCTCACCGCCCCATTGCCTCTCACTACGCCATTGCCTCTGAGACTAATATAATCCGTGCCGACGTGGCTGCAGGTCTGGACGGCAGCCTGGTGGAGGAGGAAGGCAGCATGGACTACATCTCCAGCCTGGCCTCGTCCACGGGCGGCGTGCCTGGTCACGGCGGCAGCTCCACACCCGTGGCCACGCCAGGGGCGGCCGTGTCCGGGGGCGGCACGGGCGTGGGAGGCGACTACTCTTACAGCTACGACTACGACGCCCGTAGCTACCGCCTGCCGTCCACCCTGGTGGGCAGGAACTACCTCTACCCTGCTACATCTGTCGCCATCAATCAGGTGACTCCTTCAGTATTGGCCTTAATTAATGCCTCTATCTTCTTCCCGTGACACCGCTCTATTCTTCCCTCGTGTTCTTGCTCTCTACATTTTTTTAAATAATTGAAGTCTTTATGTTTTCACAAGACAATATATTCACGAGTGCGTCCACTGTATTCTTATTCTGAAGTGTAGAAGTTCCTTTATGTTGCCTGGTGTTTTCCCTGGCGCCCTGGTGGGGGCAGTCGACTCTTAGCCGGGAGGTTCCCAGGTGGATGCCCGCGCCTCTCTTCGTGTAGTAGTAGTAAATAGATAGCTGGGAGTTAGGCAACTGTTATGGGTTGCATCCTGGAAGAGTGTCAGACGTTGGCCCGGTGGGATTGCATTAAGGACAGGAAGTCATCCTGTGCTTATGAGAAAGTATAGTATCCGTCGAGCTCCTAGTAAGGCTGGGCATCCTTCTTTCACTCGTTCCTCGCATCCCAGTTTCCATCCTGTCCCCGTATCCCAGCTCCCATCCTGTCCTCGTATCCCAGCTCCCATCCTGTCCTCGTATCCCAGCTCCCATCCTGTCCTCGTATCCCAGCTCTCATCCTGTCCTCGTATCCCAGCTTCCATCCTGTCCTCGTATCCCAGCTCCCATCCTGTCCTCGTATCCCAGCTCCCATCCTGTCCCCGTATCCCAGCTTCTATCCTGGTCTCGTATCCCTTCCATGTGCTACATAGTGATGCTGGCTTAGCGCTCATAACAACCTCACCTTCCTTGTAACCTGAATCCATGAACACATTAGTAACGCGTGTGAGTGAGAGAGAATAACAAGGGCAGGCAGGGTAGTGTAGGGCAACACAATCACCATCACAAGGTGTAAGACAGGGTGTTGTGACGAGAACACTCATTGACACAAGTGTTGACAGTACTACCAGGCCGGCGGCGGGGACCTCGCAGCCGCTGACGAACGCACCGTCGGAGGCAACGGAGGAGGCGGTGGTGGTGGTGGTCTGGTGCATGGAGGAGGTGCAGGAGACCCGCTTGGGTACGGCAATGGCCGCGCTGGCGACACCTACGTCGACTGCTCGGGTGTCTACTGCCCGGACCAGTCCCTCATCTACTCCGCCAACTACTACCAGACTTACGACACATCTTACTATTCTAACAGGTGAGTCTTCCAGTGTTCTGGTGCTGTAGTGGTGAGCCTCCAGTGATGGACAGTGTAGAATGTAGTAGCAGCAGTCGTAGAAACAGTGGCTATATCACTACTAGTAGTTGTATTAGTAGATGTAGTTATTATTGTAGAATTGATAACAGTTACTGTAGTAGTAGTAGTAACTGGAGAAGCAGCAGAAATAACAGTAGTAACACTTGTAATGGTTCTGGTGTTATTAGAATTATTATTAAAAGAGCAAGAAAATGATCTTTATAAGAAACCTGGCAAAAGTTGTTGGTAAATTACATCAGCAAAATATTGAGGAAATGATAGAAAGTTGAGAGAAGAGGAGGAGGTGCACATTCCCACCTGGGAGGAAGGGAGGGAGCCTGAGCACACGTGGTGCATGCCACCATCACAGAGCTCCAGCACAGGAGGAACATGCTCAGTAATGCACAGCACCAAGGACGTCTGGATGGGTATAACATGTACTATCCCATCACTTCACAGTGAAACAACAACAAAAAGACAATGATATAGGCGAATACTTAATGAGTTAAGACACGCAGGTCAAAACATAAATTCGAAGACAAAGGTAAGAAGAAGGCAGCTGATCAAGACAGTGATCAGACACACATCCAAAGCTGTGTCTCAGTCTCCAGACCATCAATGGATAATTTATAATTTGTGTAATACATATTGTTCAAGCTGTCACAGGTCACTAGCAGTTGGGAGGCAACGTAAACATATCTCTAGTAAGGCATATTTTTGCCATATTGATTACAATTTTAGACGAAAATGTTTAAAACAAACGCTTCCAAGAGACCACCTTTCTTGCTTCTGTACAACCTAAACAGCTCTATGTCCAACACTGATACATTACTTTCAGTTTATCCCAGATTCATATAATATTTATATTAAGCTCCGCTATATTATCTAATTCACGTCGATGCCCATATTTGAGTAAGGTTCAGCTCTCGCTGAAGTTATTGTGGCAGAGAGACATTAACTAACTTGTGTGAGGAACTAAAGCATCTCGTATTCCAGGTTCAAAACAAAGGACGTTGAAGGATAATGTTCGGCCACATCACATGATTAAAGTACTGAAGATGGTCAGCCTTTCCGGTCTCGTTCACCAGCCTCGAGTGCTCTAGGGCCGGTGCAGCTGCCCTGGTGTCTCACGCCCTCGTGTACGCCTGTGAGAGTCGAGAGCTCTGGAAGGGCAGTGCAGCTGGTGCGTCACGCCCTCTTGTACGTCTGTAAGAATCGGGAGCTCTGGAAGGGCAGTGCAGCTGGTGCGTCACGCCCTCTTGTACGTCTGTAAGAATCGGGAGCTCTGGAAGGACAGTGCAGCTGCTCAGATCCGTCAAGTCCTGCGGTGCAACTGCACATCCGGTACCGAAGTGGTCGTATAATGTCTTGCAAAACTGTTCTCATCTGCGTCAAGATCTTGTGACATGTTTATGAGCATGAAGGCAAGCGGTGGACTGGTGCAATCTGAGGTGTTCACATCTTCCACAGACTTCTGTAAATATTCAGTGGAAAGAGAACCTACCTTTGAAAATATATGCAAATATTTTCAGGTGTTGTGGCCTTTCAATAGACATGTTGGGTGATAGCAAGATCTGTTGTGCTAGACAGAAGCAGATATTCAAGCGGTTGTGTGGTATATGTGGCCATGGGTAGACCTTGTATGTTTATATGAATCTGGTTGTATGGTGATAATAAGTGAACTCTGCTTACATGAGGCATCACGGAGAGGGTTCCCACACACTTTGCTTGGGTAGGCACCAGATATGATCACGGAAGCATCATTCACAGATGAGATGAGGGGAGCATCATTCACAGATGAGATGAGGGGGAGCATCATTCACAGACTCAGGATCATGTTACTCCACGTCCCACCTCACTCTCATGTAATACCATGAACTACCTGTAAATATTAATAGTGACTTTCCTAGTCGTCGTTCTCTTTGTCGAAGAATGAATATTACTCTACACGAATACGCACACACACACACACACACACACACACACACACACACACACACACACACACACACACACACACACACACACATATGTATGTATGTGTGCTCGAAACTCTCCATCTGCTGTTTCACTGGTCGATTCTTCGGCTGGAAACGTGGATAAAAGTGTAATAAAACTAGTTTTATTAAGATAATGTATTATTTAAAAGGCTTAACATTATCACTATACCTCAAAACAACATTCCAAATGAATACTTGACAGGAATCAGTCACCACAGTCAGTGTTTCGAGCGACCTACGTGTTTGTCAAAGTAATATTGACTGTATCCAGAAATATTAACAAATGTAGTATACCTTGCCATAATGTTTAGGTTATTGCCATAGAAAACTAGAAGTATGGTTACTACAGCACGATATTGACACAATATAAAAGACGTCTGCTCGAGTTGCCAGTTCCTGTCTGAAATTATTACCTCAGATATTGCTAAAGAGTTTTGGTAAACAAGGTGTTATACTAGTTATTGCAAGAGTGAAGACAGCAACACTATAGCTAACTGCTGAGCGAGTCCAAGACGTGTTGCAGACGTGAAGTTTTAGTTCATCTACTTCCAACTGCTTTGCTGACAGTCTCTGGGGCGCCATGATGGAGTCTGCCAATCTCTGGCCGCCTTACTGGTTCTTAAAGTCATCAATGAACCGCTTTAACTCATGTTTTGTTATACTGAACATAATTAATAAAAATGTATGTTAGTAGTGCATTGCTAAGGTCACTACCCTAGAGAATGCACGTGGTGAAGCACTAGATATGAAAAAATAAGTATTTTGTAACGTAGCCTTTATGTAACACAAAATATTTTGTAACGTAGACCTTTACGTAACACAAAGTATTTTGTAACGTAGACCTTTACGTATCACAAAGTATTTTGTAATTTAGCCATTTACGTAACAAAGTATTTTGTAATGTAGGCCTTTACGTAACACACGAAGTATTTTGTAACGTAGATCTCTACGTATCACAAAGTATTTTGTAATGTAGCCATTTACTAACACAAAGTGTTTTGTAACGTAGCCATTTACATAACAAAGTGTTTTGTAACGTAGGCCTTTACGTAACACAAAATATTTTGTAACCTAATCCTTTACGTAACACAAAGTATTTTGTAACATAGCCCTTTACGTACCAAATTATTTTGTAACAGATTATTACATAATACAATATTTTGTACTGTAGACCTTTACGTGTAAATGGGAAAATGTCTTAACAAAATTCACATAAAAATATATATATTTTTGGCAAAGTAGACTTGATTCATTGTTTTATTTTTGGCGAGTGTTCACGCCTATGATTGTAAGTGATGGTGTAGAGACACGTTGTATTAAGATTTTATATACTATACAGTACTGTAGTCTTTCAGTCTGACAATAAACAAATATACCACGAGATGACTGCATACTTCCTGCCCTCCACTACAGCCTGATGGCTCCCGCGGGAATATGACTGGTAAGTATTGGTTAATAAGAGTTTAATAAGTTTATTTTGTTGCAAAACTGATTATTTCTTCCCCAGATATCGGGTTATTATAATATTGTGTGTTGGAAAATTATTTGATTTATTACTCATTTATTTTCCATAAGGTAAGGGGGGCACCCTGGTGTGCCCGGGTCTCTCTCTCTCTCTCTCTCTCTCTCTCTCTCTCTCTCTCTCTCTCTCTCTCTCTCTCTCTCTCTCTCTCTCTCTCTCTCTCTCTCTCTCTCTCTCTCTCTCTCTCTCTCTCTCCACCCCTCCCTTCTAACTCCTCTCTCCATTTCGTTCCTCTCTGTTCGTAAGTACGCATGTAATTGTAATGTAGTATGCAAGTACTCGTAAGTACTCAAGTACTTACGAACGTGTACATCTTTCCTCAATCTTTGACGGCTTTGGTTACATTTATTAAACAGTTTATAAGCATGAAAACTTCCCAATGAACTGTTGTTATTGTCATAAACAGCCTCCTGGTGCTTCGGAGCTCATTAACTGTTTAATAAGTGTAAATAAAGCCGCCAAAGATTGAGAAAAGATGTACAGGTTCGTAAGTGCTTGCGTAACTGCTTCGTGAATCTGGTCCCCTGGTGGTCTTCCTGGTAAGTGGCGATCAAGCTCTTGAAGACGTACAACAGCCTCTCGACAGAATAGGGCACAGTTGTCTTGAATTAGGGCATAACATTTCAACTGAAAATCAAAAGCCTTGTACTATGCAAGCTCTGACCCGCAAATACACTTCACCATAAAAAATAAAGAACTGGGAATATGGATCAACAAGAGGAGAACCTTCGAAAAGCAAACAAGATATATGAAGGAAAGGACAATCCTCAGGCTAAACAGAACAAGATTGGCGCCAAACACAACATTCTCATAACATTTTACACTCGAGCAATCCATTGAAGACTACGTAGTTAGTTGCTGCTCTCATCACTCTCTCCAAAAAAAAGTCAAAACTCTGGAAATTGTTCAAAACAGAGCCACGAGGAGCATCACAGGTGCACGAAAATGGTCGAAATCCTAAATCTTCACCTAGAGACAAATCTGGAACCACTTGGAACTAGAAACCAGGCCCATAACATCATCCCAAGCAATCAACATCTTTTAAAACCATTACCGGATGTTGCCCCCAGAAGAGGCGGGTAGTAGTTGTGAAAACACCTCACCCTCCTTCAGAACTGAGCAGTGGATGACCGCACTAATCAAGGACGTTAAACACCATCAGATACACCAACCACAACAAGAGGGACCTGACGCTAATTGGTTAACCCAACACAATTTAAATTATAAAATAGACAATGAAACAATTCAATTAATAAATAAACCATAATGAAACAAATATTCTGTACTTTTGAAGTTCAGGAAAACTAACACAAAGACCATCGAGGATCGAACTTCGGCCCCTGCAAGAAGCGAGGCAGTCACTCACGCGACCAGTCTAAGTAGATGGGGCTAAAGATAATATGTATAATTTATACATGTGACTAAACATGTTACAGAAAAGCTGCTGAACTAACAAAACTCACGTCCATAACATCTTGACAATGTGTTCCGAGATTTGTTTATGCGAGCATTTTAACACTCATGTCTATCATGAGGTTATCTTGAGATGATTTCGGGACTTAGCGTCCCCGCGGCCCGGTCCTCGACCAGGCTTCTTGTTACACATCCCCCAGGAAGCAGCTGTCTAACTCCTAGGTACCTATTTACTGCTAGGTGAGGAGGGGCATCAGGGTGAAAAAAACTACTCATTAGTTTCCGCCATCGCCGGGGATCGAACCCGGAACCTTAGGACCACGAATGCCAAGCGTTGTCCACTCAGGCGTCAGGCCCAGGCTTAACCATTGCAAAGGCGACTATATACTGACTTACACAATTAATTACGTGACTATTTGAACAACCCGTCCTCTTAAAAATAACGTCAATTTTGGCTCGTATGCGCGCTATGGCCAATTTTGGACGTAATTTGAAATGAAATCGACTCACAAAAGTGACGTACTGTTCCGTTTTCTGTTTGAGTCGTCCGGCCTACTCGGCCAGCTTAGAAAAGGATTCTTTCCATTAACGTTTTTCATACCATTTTGAAACTTTATGAGAATTTCCTGCCCACCTAACCTATCAGAGGACCCTTAACTTACTGTTGTTGAAAAAAAAAATCCCAAATTTATATTAATTTTTTTTTCATTTTCAAATTACGTCCATATTCGGCCATACGGGCAATCGGCCAAAAGCGACGTTCTCTTCAAGAGGACAGGTTGATTTGAAAACTAGTTAGCTACTAGGAGTTTAATGATTTGAATAAACGAGTCTTAAAAAGTGTCTAAAAGTGCGAATAAATAAACAAATTATCAAGTGTTGTGGTGGAGGTGGTTGACGTCATAACGTCATGACTTCCCCTTGGGCAGTGCATGACGCCTCAGTGCGCCTCGAGGCCCCGTGGAGGGTCATGCTGGTCTCTGGTAAGCTACTTTCTTTACGTTTACATTAGCATCAACTAGAAACTTGTTTATTACAGTGTTCAAAACTATTAAACAATAACTATTTGTGTTGAACGACTTGCTGCCTTTTGATAATAACTTACTTGTGTTAAACTTTCTATAAAATAGTGTAAATAATTGTTTACAGTGTTGGAGTGCTGCTTGCTGCTGCTGTCTGCGGTGGACGTAAGTGTTGTCCAAGTCTTTTGTCTTGTTTGATCACTTGCGGGAATGTCATCAAATGGCAGGAGCCGTTATGAACCCAAAAGCGAACCCCTCTATACGGTTGGTTGATATCCTGCCGTTCATAATGTTATTCGCGGCCTGTGGCCATGTAGATGGTTTATGTGACTAATAATGTATTATGTGATATCACGTGTGATATATCCTCGCTGCTGTTATCGTAATGTGTAGTCGGGAAATGGATTATGTGATATCACATGTGATATATCCTCGTTGCTGTTATCGTAATAACAAGTGGGGAACGTCCATAGCTCGGTTACCTGCTGTCATAACTGCATTGTTATACTTAGTTATTCATTCTTGTTTGAATATCCTGATTTTTTCAGGGTTGGAAAATTTTGGTCTTTACTGTTCGTATGCGCCACTGTTTCTCGCTGAAACTGTCTGAGACGCTGACTTTTTGACATTGTAAATGATCTTGAGGGTCCTGTTGAATCATCCGGAACTTGCGTGGCGATATATTACCATACTGGCTCGGCCCTCGTTTTGGTAATGACTGAATTCCATCGCCAGTAACTATGACATAAGATTCATGACATTTCGTACACGATGCAATTCGTCAAAGGCTACTTGTAAATATCTTATCTAATTCAGTCTAATCTAACCTAGTTTGATCTCGTCTAACATAACTCAACCTACCCGATTATAGCCAAACACAGTCTAACACCTTTAACTTTGCCTAATCAAACTTAACCGAGCTAGACCTAACCGTGCTTAACCTAACCAAGCCTAACCTGATCTAACCTTACTTAACTAACCAAGCCTAACCTATCCCAGCTTGACAACGACACACACAAATGTGAATTAGAAAACGCAACTAGAATACTTACATCAACTACTGGATAGAACGTACAAGAAGACTGGATGGTTGAACTCGAGAAAGTTCACCTTTTGTATTTAATTTGGAGAGACTAGGTTACCCCTAATTTTCTGAGGGCTTGAGTCTTCTTTGCAGTTGTCGTCAACACCACTGCATATTCGTCTGGGTTACCTGGGGGCCTCTAGTTCGGAACTGACACTCCACCAGGAAATAATATTGTTTTGATGCCAGTTTCTATATTCCAGCCTAGTCTCTCTCTGACTTGTACACACAAGCCTCTCCGCAGTGTATGTAATTTTAGTCAGATTCACTTCGGTGCTAATAGTAATGGTCGTCCTTGACCTTTTATAATGTCATAGAATTAGGGGTGCATAATATAGTGAATAAAATGATAATGACATTTACTAGGAAAAAAGTATCTGACTGGCAGCACTAGCCTCATGCATAACTGAATATAAATAAAATGCAATAACTCAACAATTAATTCACTGAGACTTGATAATAGTTTCTTCAACTTTAAATTCACACAAGAGAAATCAGCGTCAATCAAAACTTTCAACTGCCATTAGGCTGTAGCTCGAACTCGAATATCATATATCGCAATAATTAATAAATCAGCACATAGCAATGCTAACATTCCAGATACATAATAATAATCATTGTTCCTTAGCAAATACTAGCAACAAAGAGGAATGGGGTTTAGAGAAGTTTTACTTGACAACTGACAATCGGCTGGGCCGCGGAGTTCCTTCTTGGCCACACCCAATCATCACTGTCTGTCTATCTGTCTGTTTGCAATGTCTGTCTTGCAAACACTTCAGCTGTGACACTGGTGACGTGTTCCTCTGGCTGGCTGCCTTGCGCCTCTGTGACCTTACTCTTGTGGCTGGGGTGGGTATAATACTGACTGCACCTGGGTTACCCTGCAGCACAGCTCCTCTCTACTGTACGACTGCCAGTTATTCCCTGGTGCGCTCCTGGGACCAGATTCACGAAGCAGTTACGCAAGCACCTACGAACGTGTACATCTTTCCTCAAACTTTGACGGCATTGGTTATATGTATTACACAGTTTACAAGCATGAAAACTTCCCAATCAATTGCTGTTATTGTTATAAACAGCCTTCTGGTGCTTCGGAGCTCATTAACAGTTTAATAATTGTAAACAAAGCCGCAAAAGATCGAGAAAAGAAGCACAGGTTCGTAAGTACTTCTTGAGGTTATCTTGATTTGCGTAACTGCTTCGTGAATCTGGTCCCAGGGTCTTGCAGACCCACTCGTAATACTAGGCTGTTGCACGGAGTGTTGTTTAACAGTTTTGACGGCCATTATCGTAGCTGTTGAATAGTGGCTCCATGCACTAATTGGCCACGTAACTCGCCA